CAGCTTGATGACCTCATTTTGGAGGTGCAATGGAGATAAATAGCTCGCTGGAGGCCAGATACACTCACTCCCTGGGAGACAGTCCTGTTGCCAAGCCACATGGAGCTATGCTGAAGGAAGCCAGAGCCTTGGAGCTGGAGGAGTCACGTGGAGACCCCTATCAGTGTTGAGATGCTTCCACCACCACTGGATCCACAAGACTTCCCACCCACTGGCCTGTGATCTTCCTGCACTCAGTGTCATTGCATGTGTTGCATGAGTCTGAAGAGGCATTTGTAGACTGGTATCGGACATGTGGGCTGATATTTGACTTACCGACTTGATCTGGACTGGGCTGGGATGTTTTCTTAATGTACAATTTCTTTGATATGAAGTTCTATCTTACACACATATCAGTCTATGAATTTGTTGCTGTATTCAACGCAGACTAACAAAATCATCTATCACCATCTTCACACATGGTAATTGTGGAAAGTAATTGTTGCTGAAAATGAGTTACTAAAGTACTGTTAGGGGAAAAAAGAGGAGCTGATACCAAAGACTCAAGTAGAAATAAAATGCTTTGGAAATGATCATGGCAACATATGTATAAAAGTGCTTAATACAAGTGATGTATGGATTGCTATAAGAGCTGTAAAAGTCCCCAGTAAAATGATGTATTAAAATAAAAAAATAAAGTATTGTAATTGCCTTATTCTGAGTCAAATGAAAACATTCCTTTCGATTACTCTTCTCTATTGTACTATTTCAAGTTGTACCATTCTACTGTCCTGGCCCCAGTGACTTTTAGAGCACTCATTGATATTCCTTGTGGTAATTCATTCATTCCACATTCCACATAGATGTATTTGGTATTGAGTATATTCCAGACACTGTTTTAGGTGATAAGGAAATAGTTGAGAGCAAAACAACACTTTGGGAAGATATGTATTTAAAAAAAATTCATCAGATGTGCTAATTCATGATAGGGAAGAAAAGTGGAACAAGGAAGGAGGATAAGGATGGAGACTCATGATGGAGATGACAATAGGGATGCTATTTAAACAGGGATGATGTCATAGGAAGTATCTAAAAGTCTGTCAATTATCTCTGGCTCCTAGTTTTAGTGCCTTTGTGTAACCCTCTACCATTCATTACGAGCTAAGCTTATTGATGCACTTCCAATGAGTAGAATGAATTGAATACGGCAGAGGTCATGGAATGTCATTTCCTATGTCATAAAAGGCATACGGCATTTATCTTGTGTGTTTGTCCTATTTTGCTCTATCTCAATCACTGCCAGGAAAATATTCCTTCCTGGGGACCAGGTCCAAGGCCTGCTGAGCCTTTCTGGGATGAGCAGAGCCACCACCAGCTGAGCAGCAGCCTTGCCTTAGAATCCTGGGTTGCTGTGGTTAGTTGCCATTGAGCTGGCTCTGGTCCATGGTAACCTTATGTAAAACAGAACAAAACCAAACATTGCCCAGTCCTGCACCATCCTCCCAAGCTTTGACATGTTGAAGTTCATGGTTGTGGCCATTGTCAGTCAATCTTATTGAGGGTCTCCCTCATTTTTCCTGCCTCTCTGCTTTACCAAACCATATGGCCTTTGCCAGCAATGGCTCTTTCTAGCTATTGACGGACTTTTGTGGGCAATGTGAATGAGCTAATTAATACTCTTTATGCCATTATCAATGAAAAAGCAAGTCTTCCACCACTGTTGGTTTATTTTTCTCTCCACATGCAGAAGAGATTCTTCCTCATGTGATACAATCTTAATGTAATTTACAATACCCAAGGTAAAACCCAACTCCAGACTTATTTTTACTGCTCAAGAAAGTATAGGTCAAGTAAATGACACTCATCCTATTAACGAATACATTAGCCTTCTGTTAATTCCTTTGAAAGTGTAAATAATTTTGTGAACTTTGAAAAAAAGTTCTATTGGCACTCCATCCACATATTATACAATGCAATAGTTCATTCACACCAGGAAGAGTTGTACAATCTTTACCACAATCAATTTTAGAACATTTTCTTCTTCCTTGTACTCAGTGTTAGTATTTTTTTTCAATTTTGGCAAAAATACACACAATCAAACATCCTCCAAGTCAACAACTTCTACATGTCCATTATAAATTTCTTGGTGATATGATGTCAAATGTTTACACATACTTGGGTCTCTGCCTGGTCTTCTCTGATTTAGTGTTATATCTGCTATTATTGTTTAACAATACTGTAGCTTTTTAATAAAGGAAATAAGAGTCATCACACACCATCCATCCCTCCTTTCATGTAATGATCCAATTCGTTGTAAACAATCTTATTGACATTATTATTTTCTAGGGAAATTTGGAGTGATTTTTGCAACTTCTTCCAGAAAATATAAGACTGTTCTATGGAATTCCTTGTACACATACGTTATTTTGAGAAAATTGATGTGTTTAGTGGCATAATGTCGAGTGACAGCCATCTGTCTTTGAGTTGTTTGATAGGCGTAAGGTAACCCTGTTGACTTTTTCCTCTTCATTTTGCTGTGCCTTTGATCAGCAGCCACCTCTTGGGAACTCCTCAGAATTGGGTTACTTTTGTGGAAGTTTCCTCCTGCTCTGCTTTTCTTGAGCCTCTGCTGCTGTGAAAGAGGAACACAAAAATAAAACCAAGAGACCAAATGAAAAGGCAAGAATAAGCGTATTTGCGTAAGTCCCTTTCACAAACTGATCCTTTGCCCATCATTGCATAACTCAAAAGCACCTAGAAATTAACACAAAAGATTGCATAAGAGAGCTCAGTAGGTCTACCAATGGGCAGTCTTGTGCTGGAAAAGACTGCTGCCTGTGCCGACCCAGGTAGGCAGCTCTGAATGGTGGTGTTCTCACTATTGTCTCGTTAGACCTGCCTGTGCTTGAGGACACCTTTAGAAAGTCAAGAGGGATGGTTAAAAAATTTAAAGGCTTTTTTTTTTTCATTTAAAAACCTGTCTTCCTATTTCATTCATTTTTATCTCCTCAACATTCCTATGACTGGTGGCCACTGAATTTCACAGACATTGTAAAAGATTCACATCTTTCAAAATGTCATTTTTTTGCAGAGTCTTGTCCTCTGTGCTACATTCCTCAAATTATGTCTTGACTGAAGCATCAGTCAAGTTCACATTCAGGAGACAGCTTTGTCCCTTTTCCCACAACATGCCAGTTACTCACCGGTCTGATGAGTGAGTGCAAATAATACAGCTAGGTCCTAATAGATTTGTACAAAAAGCACTAGAGGTGTGTGTCTCCCATGAAGGCAGAGAGTATGTGCCATTCATCACAAAGGTAGTTTCTGTTTCAGAGTAAATCTATTGGCTCAGGCTGGCCCAAGCTCTTCTATGCCACCAACCACCAGTTGCTGTTGGGTACATCCCAACTCATGATGACTTCATGTGTGTCCCCTACTGTGCTCCACGGGGTTCTCAATGGTTGATTTAACAAAATCGTTTTCTTGGAACGGCATCAGCATATCACACAATTCAGTAGTTCGACCATATCAAGAAGAGTTGAACAATCAATTTTAGAACATTTTCTTTTTCTCCATACTCATTGTTATTTATGCAGTTTTCCCCCTTCAATGTTGGGCATAAATATACACAACAAAACATTCACTAATTCCACATCTTTTACATGTATAATTCAGTGCCATTGATTATACTCTTCGGGTTGTCAACCATTACGGAAATCCTTTTCCAAATTGCCCCATCACCAATAAAATGAACTCATTGCCCCTAAGCAAAATCTCGTCCTCCTTCACGCACGGTATCCGTGGTGGGTTTTTCAGAAGTAACGAGCCTAGATTTTCTCTTGAGATGTTCCTGGATGGACTTGAACCTCCAGAATTTTAGTTTATAGCTAAGCTTTTTTTTTAAAAGTTACTTTATTGGGGGCTCTTATAGCTCTTGTACATTCCAGACATCAATTGTAGCAGGCATGTTTGTACCTATGTTGCACCATCATATGTATATATGTTGCTCCTCTTTCCCCCCCATATCCCGCACCCTCCTGCCCTCGTGAATCCTTGATCAATAACATATTGCTATTATTTTTCCATATCTTACACTGTCCACGGTCTCCCTTCACTCTCTTTTCTGTTATTTGTCCCTTATGGGGTCTGGGGGGGAGGGCTATATATCTAATCTTGTGATGGGCTCCCCCTTTCTCACCCTTCCCCCTCCCTGACCATGCCTACCCTCATGATATTGCTATTCCCACTACTGTTCCTGAGGGCTTTATCTGTCCTGAATTCCCTGTGTTGATAGGTCTTATCTGTACCAATGTGTGTTCTCCAGTCTAGCCAGATTTGTAGGTTAGAACTGGGTCATGGTAGTGGGGGCTGGGGGTGGGGGAAGTATTCAGGAACTAGTGTGATTCATCGGTGCTATACTGCACCTTGGTTGAATCATCCCTTCCTTA